CTTAGGAGAATGTCCGGATGTTGATTTGGAGGTCCGTAGTTCGTTTCGGCGTGAATTGGCGAAACTTGAAAAGTTGGAGGATTTTGGAAAGTTTGACCGTGAGTTGACTTTATTGATATCGGGTCGGATCCCTATTCTGATCGGAGATGGTGCCAGGATCGAGGTGACACACTCATCCTAGCGCCCGGAGCCAGCCCATGATCTTCTCTGACCTAGCGTTTTTAGTAGCCAAATTGTCAACTCTAGCACGCAGGTCAGTGACCGAAGTGCATAGGCCAGCCATCTCCTGCTCCAAGGATGTCATGCGGGTACTCCGGGCTTGTGATGGCCCCACCTCATCAATAATCTTCCCAGGTGGGGCGGCAGCATGCATAGCTCTCTCATCATCATCGTCGGTATCGTCATCATCTACCACAACCTGCTTTTTCCCAATTATGATTTTGCTAGCCTTGAATGCGGCTTTTCTTGGCACCTTCCCATCTACTATGGGATTTTTACGAACTCGTGAAGCACGACATAACTTGGTGACTAGGGAAGGGAAGTAGAACCCTTTGAGTATTTTCGGGGAGCGAATGAACATTTTATCTTGAATGAGCTGGGCCACATCAAAATCGTGGTGGTTCATAAAACAATAAATCGCCACTGCTCTTGGCCCATTAACATCTGTAGTGTTGCTAGATGGCAACAAACGACTGTTGATGATTGTGATCCAACACTTAGCTTCCCAAGTCAGAGATTGGGAGTCCAGGTTAATTCTTTGCTTTATCCATATTGGATCCCGGCCAGCCACACAGATTTGTTTCAACAATTAGTTGCCACCAAATAGGTGGGCGTTGATAATCCTGGTAATAATCCATCTCTCAGTGAAGACCGATAACTTGTACACTCGGCGGATGGCCTCAAGAGACGCATTCACCTAGGTATTTCGTACCATGATAACCCTATCAACATGCTCCGGGCAATTCGCATAAAATTCCCTTACCATCAGTACATTGCCCTCTTCCGGATCATTAAAGAAGATGTCCAACTGACGCATCCTCAATTCTTCAAAGATACTTGGGCAATCAAGTTGCATGGCATGCCTATCAATGTGTACCTCAGGCAATAACTTCTTGGATGACTTTGTATTAAACCTATCTTGAGCCGCTTTGGAGACAAATCGAGTGTGGTCAAACTGGTCCGCACTAGCCTAAGCTCGAGCTCTAGATGAACCTCCTAGTCCACTAGCGGAGGAACCTGTGGCACATCTTTTCCTTGATTTAATGCATTGTACTTGACAAAACAAAGGCTACTATTAGTGAGGGTTTGAGTTGTGTGAACCTTGGGTGGTTACTCAGACTTCACCACCACCATGGTCACATTAGCCATTGCAGCTCCATTGGGGAAATTTCACAAGCACCTTGTAAGCATGGACTATAATTTAACACACATATCCCATGGAAGCATAAATTCTCCCCTTAAATCAACCATTATCACTTCACAACTCCATCCCATCACAATTAACTTCACACAACAATACCAAGCTCTTCTCTACAACATTTTACACATTACCCACTAAAAAGAAGAAAAGAAAACTAAAAATCTAACTATAGATACCACAACATTTCAAGTATTAAAATTGCAAAATAGAAAAGTACAAGAAGAGATATGGAAAGCATGACACATCTTGTTCTAGTAGAAGGGAAAGAAGTGGGTTTGTGAGAGATGGGAAGAAGAGGAAGAAGAGAGGGGCATTAGGTTAGGGTTTAGAGTGAGAGTGAGGAGTGGGAAAAGTGGGGGGAGGGGGGGTTGTGTTATGTTTAGTGAGTTTAGAAGAGAGAAAGAAAAGAAAAGAAAATAATTTTTTTAATTACACTTACCTGGGCTGTAGAAGGGCGCGATTCACCGAGGTTGCGGTGAAAGAAGAGCACAAAACATAATAGTCGAGAATAGCCGCGCCCACGCCGTGGTCCCACCGCGGTCGCGGTGAGCCAGAAATAGTATAGGTCGAATTTGCCTCGCCCACGCCACGGTCGTGATCACGGGCTTCCGTAATATATATATNAAAGAAAACATGTGTTGCCTCCTACACAACGTCTGATTTAACGTCGCGGCACGACGCAGGCTCATATCATCACTCCTCATTTGTGTATTGGGGCTCCTCTAATGTTATCACCACATTTTCCCCATTTTCTTCAGTCATTCCGAGGTAATGTTTCAACCTCCGCCCATTCACTGTAAATTTGTTCGTCCCATCTTCAGATTAGATCTCCACAGCTCCACTTGGGAACATTTGCACCACTCTGAACGGTCCTGACTATTGGGACTTCAATTTACCCGGGAACAACCTCAATCTTGAGTTATATAGCAACACTAATTCTCCGAGTTCAAAGTTCCGATTCAAGATATGCTTTTCATGCATCAGTTTTATCCTGCCTTTATATAGTCTAGCACTCTCGAATGCCTGGAACTGGAATTCCTCAAGCTCATGCAACCCATTAACTCTGTTGGTGCCCGCTGTCTCCATGTTTAAGTTCAGCTGACACAATGCCCACAGTGCTTTGTGTTTGAGCTTAACTAGAAGGTGGCTTGCCTTTCCAAATACCAACTTGTATGGTGAAATACCAATTGGAGTTTTAAAGGCTGTGCGGTATGCCCACAATGCATCATCCAGCTTCCTCACCCAATCAGTTCTTGTTGCATTCACTATTTTTGAGAGGACACTTTTGATTTCTCTATTGGACACTTCCACCTACCCGCTTGCTTGTGGGCGGTATGGTGAGGCTACCTTGTGGCGAACTCCATACTTCTCCAACAGGCGTGCAAACGCTCTATGGCAAAAATGAGAGCCACCATCACTGATTATGGCTCGGGGGTGCCAAAACGTGTGAAGATGTTTTTCTTTAGGAAACTGGTCACCCCTTTTGCATCATTAGTTGGAGAGCAACTACTTCGAACCACTTGGAGACATAGTCAACAACAACCAATATATACTTGTTACCGTATGAGCTGACGAAAGGCCCCATGAAGTCGATCCCCCACATGTCAAACACTTCCACCTCTTGGATTATGGTCATTGGAATCTCATGATGACGAGATATGTTGCACGTCCTTTGACATTCATCACAGCTTTTGACCTAAGCATGGGTATCCTTGAACAATGTAGGCTAATACAGGCCTGATTCCAGCACCTTTGCTGTTGTCCGAACTTCTCCAAAGTGTCCACCATATGGCGAAGCATGGCAAGCCTGTAAAATAGAGGGTTGATCTTGCTCGGGGATACACCGCTGGATCATGTTATCAACACATATTTTGAACAATAGAGGTTTATCCTAATAATACACCCGATAATCACCGAATTTTGTTTTCTTTTGAATTGAGGAGAGATCATGAGGTACAATACCACATGCTATGTAATTAGCAATATCAGCATACCATGGTGCCTCTTCCATTGTCACAGCAAGTAATTGCTCATCAGGGAATGTCTCAAGGATATCTTCAACTTCCATTCTCTTTTTTGCCCCTTCCAACCTCGAGAGGTGGTCTGCTACTTGGTTGTCTGTCCCCTTTTGGTCACGAATCTCCAAGTCAAATTCTTGTAGCAATAGAACCCAGCGAATCAAGCAGGGCTTTAACTCCTTCTTTGCTATCAAGTACCTAATGGCTGCATGGTTTGTATAAACAATAACTTTCGAGCCAATCAGATAAGACCTGAATTTGTCGAAGCCAAAACTTTTCCATGACCGTATAGTTCAGTTGTGCACCACTAAGCGTCCTGCTTGTATAGTAAATTGGGTGCATAATTTTCTCCTTGCGCTGCCCCAAAATCGCTCCAATAACGTAATCACTAGCGTCGCACATCAGCTTGAATGGTTGCTCCCAATTGGGTGCAGTCACCAGTCTCTTCTTCAGCTCCTCAAATGCTAACCTACAATCATCAGAAAACAAAAAGTGCTGGTCTTTTTCAAGCAGCTTACATAAGGGATTAGCAATTTTTGAATAATCCTTGATGAACCGCCTGCAGAATCTGGCGTGCCCAAGGAAACTTCTCACTAATTTCATTGAAGTGGGTACTGGGAGCTTCTCAATCACATCAACTTTTGCATGGTCTACTTCAATCCCCTTTTTGGACACTCTATGCCCCAACACTATGCCTTCTTGTACCATAAAATGGCACTTCTCCCAATTCAGCACCAAATTTGTCTCCACTCATCGTTTGAGCACTCTTTTAAGGTTGTGAAGACAATCTTCGAATGAATCCCCTAATACGTAGAAATCATCCATAAACACCTCCATAATGTCTTCGACCATGTCGGTGAAAATGGCTAACATACACCGCTGGAATGTGGCCGATGCATTGCAAAGTCCAAAGGGCATCCTCCGAAAGGCAAAGATGCCATACGGACATGTGAATGACGTTTTCTCTCTATCTTACAGGGCTATTGACATCTGATTGTACCTCGAGTATCCGTCCAAGAAATAAAAATGGGATCGCCCAACTAACCTGTCCAACATCTGGTAAATGAAGGGTAAGGGGAAATGGTCTTTTTGGGTGGCTGCGTTTAATTTCATGTAATCCATGCAAATCCGCCACCCTATGACTGTACAAGTTGAGATCAACTTGTTCTTCTCATTTGTACAACTGTCATTCCATCCTTTTACGGTACACACTGGATGGGGCTTACCCAATTACTGTCAGAGATGGGAAAGATGATGCTAGCGTCCAGCCACTTGATTACCTCCTTTTTCACTACCTCTTTCATATTCGGGTTCAACCTTCGTTGATGTTTCCTGGAAGGTCTGTGTCCTTCTTCCAGACGAATCTTGCGCATGCAGAAGGCTGGGCCGATACCCTTTATGTCTGCCATGGTCCAACTAATGGCAGTTTTGCATTCCTGCAACCCCTGCAATAATTGTTTTACCTGCACAACTAGCAAACCAGATGATATAACAACATGCAAAGTAGAATTGGGACCCAAGAAAGCATACCTGAGGTGAGCTGGAAGCGGTTTCAGCTCCAACTATGGTGGTTCCTTTATTGATGATTTTGCAGGTGGTGTAGCTCTCTTTTCTAATTCAAGGGGCTCGAACTGAGGTTCCCTCTTCCAGAATCCTTGGCCTTCAAGTGCCATGACCCACTCTGCCAACCCTTCACCATCTATCTCCTCTAAATTTGTCAAACAAGCTCCCAATGGATCTTTGGCATTCTGGGTCTCATCATCTTCATGCAAGATCACATCCACAACTTCCACTAGTGAGCAATTTGCGTATTCACTAGGTCTCCTCATGGATTGTTGAACGTTGAATATTACTTCTTCATCGTTTAACCTCATTTTCAATTCCCCGTTTTCACAATCAATCAATGCTCTCCCAGTGGCTAAGAATGGCCTCCCCATAATGATGGGTATCTCCTCATCTACCTGGAAATCTAGAATAACAAAGTCCGCAGGGAATACAAACTTTCCCACTTGTACCAGCACATCATCAAGAATCCCTGTCGGCCTTTTAACCGTGCAGTCAACCAGTTGCAACAGTATCGAAGTTGGTCTAGCTTTTCCAATGCCCAGTTTTGTATATATTGCCAAAGGCATCAAGTTTATGCTAGCTCCTAAGTCACACAATGCTTTTGCAAAGTCATAACTCCCAATAGTACACGGAATAGTGAAGCTACCTGGGTCAGACATCTTTTGAGCCATGGGTCTTGTCACTACTGCGCTACATGTCTGTGCCAGAGTTACTATGGAAAGATCCTGAAAGTCAAATTTTCGTGACATCAGGTTCTTCATCATTTTTGCGTAGCCTAGCATTTCCCTCAAGGCATCAATCTGAGGGATATTCAATTGAATCTGACAAAGCATCTCCATGAATTTCCTGTATTTATCTTCTTTCTTTTGTTTTGCTAGTCTCTGAGGGAATGGTGCAGGCATAACTCTTTGTCCACTGCTTACTGGCTGTTTTTTGTTGGAATTTTGTGGCACAAGAGGTACCACCTATTCTGCAACTTGTTCACTTTCTTTAGCCTTACCCTTATCAATCTGAGCTTGTTCAACCACCACTTCAGTGAGTTCTGCTGATTCATCTATCTCTAATGGAACTGGAGTGGCTGGTGTAGTCTCTCTTCTGGATTGAGCAACTTCTTGCTCCCTGTCTAAATCTCTCCCATTCCGGAGACTTACTGCCATCAGTTGATTTGGGTTTTGCTCCTTGGGGTTAATATTCATGTCGGCTGGCAATGCTCCCTAGGTGAGGTTATTTAAGGCCATGGATAGCTTCCCCAGTTGAGTTTCAATCCCCTTAATTGCTGAGTCATGCGCTGCCAAATTCTCCTGCATCTTACCATTTGTTCCAATTAGTTGTTGTAGCATACCCCTGATTTCTACTATGTTGCCGTCTTTTTGTTGAGGAGGTGGCTGATATGCCAACTGTTGCTGGTGCTGCTATTGATAGCCATGTTGTCTCTGATATGGCACCATTTGGCCTTGGGGCTGCATACCTCCAGGTTGTGGCATGTTTGGTCTGTACTGCTGGTTGGGTGCTGGTCTCCATTGTTGTCCTCATTGCCTCTGACCCCCCAAAATTGTTAACATAATTCATATCCTCTCTTAACCCTTGGTTGTCACCTTCTCCACTCTATGAACACTCATAAGATTGATTAATGCACGGTGTACATAGTCCTCCATTTGTTGTGTCAATGATATGCACTTGCTTTGTACCCATCTCATCAATCTTCTTCATCAGTATACTCATCTAAGTCTGAGTGTGTCTATGTTCTCTGCATGTGAATTATTTGGGTCAAGAGGAACTGAATGCACTATTGGTGTCAGGGTCGTACCTCTCCTCATCCACCCCAAATTTTGGGACATCTTGTCAAGAAGGATTTTACACTCTGTGAATGTCTTGCTCAGAAATGCACCCCTAGCAGAAACATCTACATTGGCTTTTAAATTGTCTGCAAACCCCATAGAGAATCTCTGGCCGAGCATCTGGTCTGGAATACCATGGTGGGGACACTTCACTGGAATACTTTTGAATCTTTCCCATTTCCTGCAACGTCTCAGTAGGTTGCTGCTTGTACTGCAATATCTCATCAATCTGTCTTGCAGTCTTGTTGGGCAGGTAAATCTTGTTCAGGAACTGCTTGATCAATTCTTCCCAAGTGGCAATGGAATTTATTGGGAGCGAATTCAACCAAGTCTGTGCTTCCCTAGTCACAGAGAACGGAAACAATAACAGCTTGATGGCTTTTGGGGTAACATTTGCCTGCTTTTGGGTCATACAAAATGACATAAAATTTTTCGGGTGTTGTTGAGGGTCTTCAATATGTGACCCTGAGAACAATCCCTTATTTTGCAGAAGATGCAGCATGTTGTTGGTGATCTGGAATGCCTCCGCTTGTATTGGGGGCACAGCAATGGCGGTGGCCAGGTTGTCAGTTGTTGGTTGTGCCCAATCATAGAGGGCAGCTTCTGGCACAAGAGGTGCCACCACTCTGACGTTTGGGTCATCTTGATCATCCTGATGTTCCTGTTGACGTTATCTACGTCGCCCATTTCAATTTCAAGTTGGTGTGTTTGGTGTGATTGTTTGTTCTTCTTGTTGGCACGGTTTAATGCCCTGAATGTTTTCTCGGGGTCTGAGAGTCCTTCAAGCAGGTCACCAGTCCTCAAAGAATCTCTAGGCATACACCTGAATCACATAAGAGTCCAAACGAGAGAATTTCAATGAAAAGATATTAGACACCGTAGAAAATTAATCTAAACTAATAATTCTAGCACTACTTCTAAGTTGTAATAAATAACACCATTAGCTCCCCGACAACTGCGCCAAAATTTGATCATGCCCAACTATGCCTTATAAAAGACAAAGCGGTCATTGCAAATATAATCTGATTTCAAGTCCGGAATCGAATCCTCAAGGAACAAACCTATCTATTACAACTCTTAGTGATGCTAGTACAAGCTCAAATAATTTCTGAAAGCAAGATTTTTATCAATAAATTTTGGGTTTCGTTTAACTAAAGTAAAATGATATTAAAACTAATAATATTCTAAACAAAAGATAATTCAATGGTAAAAAGATCTAGGGTATTGATTTCCCCAATTGCTAGTTTAACTTTTAACTCTTTTGCTACAATCTCGCAGTAATACTCAATGAGTATTATTAGCTATGGGCTACCGTAATTATCTCTCGATCAACTATAATAATTTACTAGAGCATTCTCTTGAACTACTCTAGCTGATAATTTATGCAGCTCTGAATTATCCCACCAAAGTTTTGTTATCTCTAACCCCACTTTTAAATTCAAGTAATGAATCTCTTCAATTACCCAAAAGTGGTGTTGTTCAACAACAATCTAACCTAGTATTCTTCCTCAAGCAATACAAGGCAATTAGACACGATTAATCAATGGCTCATTCAATTAATCACCATACTAAACGTAGTTGAATAATCATATAATAAATCCGGCTCGATTATAACAAAATTGAGTCAAAACTTCATCTAACAATTGGTTCCATCAACCCTAGATTAAATATTTAGCTACTCATAGTAAAGCAAGATAAAACCATAAAATCATTCATAATTCACAAATAATGATAACAAGAAGAAGATTGAAAAACTCTAATGGTTTCTTGATCTTCTCACACTTGTTCTTACCTCCAATTCAGTATAAAAACTAGCCTAACCTTGACTTGGGCGAGTTTGTTGAGTTTATATAAGGTTAGGATAAGTTTCCCATGATTTACACTTTATCCCTTAAACTTCTTGGCTCCCTCTAGATCGACACCGGTCGCGGCACGACCGTGGCGATTTTAAACATTCTGTTTTCTACTTTTCTTTCACCGCATTCCAGCCGCGGTCCCACCGCGATCGCGATGAACTGTTACCCAGTTTTTCTTTGCCTTTTCTTGCTCGTTTTCATCCAGGCTCTTCTCGATTGGCCTTGTCTCTACATAATTGACTCCAAAACACTCTATATCCTCCTCCTAACTCGGAGTAGTTCTTGCAAAGCATAAAAACCTCAATTAAAGCATTTTGTTATCATTTAGCACTTAAAACATCAATAAAGTATGGTTAACTTCGAGCATACATAGCATCTACATTGCATAATATAGGCTACTATCAATAAACTTTACCCAAAATATTACGAACTCAAATATATGATTTATTCATAATTCCATGTCTAAATTTTGTGGTAAAATCCAAAAATACCAATTTCTAGGTTTCTTAAAAAATTCACAATTACTACAAATTTTCATGTTTAATACCCCTATAAATCATGTATTTAACTCACATTGGTAGGAATCACTTACCTCGTGAAGGGTGATAAAAATGGCACTCCAAAATCACCCCCAAGGCCAGCTCCAATGAGAGAAATGAGGTAAAATTAGCCAAACCCACTTACTTAATAGAGTATTCTGCCTAGCGATGTTCCGCACCTGCGGAACTTCTCATGCTTCTGTTGCTCGCTTTTGCGGAAGCACCGTCGCAGGTGCGGCTTCCCCCAAGGTTCCAGCTTTCCTCTTCTGCGGACATACAATCGCAAAAGTTAATATGCTTCTGTGGAAAATCACCCGCATCTGCAGACCTCCCAGCTCAAGCAGCATTTCACACTTGCGCGACCATAACCGCAACTGTGACTCCGCATTTCTCACGTGCGAACGCACCAGAAGCCTTAAGCTTCTACAATTCCTTAAGTCTAAAATCGGATCCAATTCCACTCTGATTCGCACCAGAGGCCCCAGGGACCCTGTCCAATCATACCAACGCATCCGAAAACATAATACAAACTTAGTCGAAGCCTAAAATCATGTCAAACAACATCAAAACTATAAATCGACAATCGAAACCTTTCTTTAAACTTTCAAATTTTTGAACTTCGCCGAACGCATTTGAATTATACTTAAATATCTTGGAATGACGCTAAATTTTGCGTGAATGTCACAAATAACAATACGAACCTATTCCAAGGCTCGAAATCCAAAATGGACATTGATAACACCAAAGTCCACCTCAAACCAAACATAAGAATGTCTTAAACTTTCAAAATGCCAACTTTTCATAGTAAGCGCCGAAATGCTCCTAGACCACCAGATACTCGACCCGAACATATGTCCAAGTATGAAACCATCATATAAACCTATTGGAACCTTCAAATCCGATTCTGAGGTCATTTGATCAATAGTCAAACCTTAGTCAACTTTTCCAACTTAAAGCTTTCGAATTGAAAATTTTCCTTTCGAAACAACTCTAAACTCCCCAAATTTAATTCCAACAACACGTATAAGTCACAATATATGAAGTGAAGCTAGTCAAGGCCTCAAACCACCGAACGACGCACTAGATCTCAAAACTACCGGTCGGATCGTTACATTATCCCCCACTTAAACGTACGTTCGTCCTCGAATATGCCACGAACTACTCCGGAGTTGCCCCAAAATCACTATTTAACACGTTGTGCAACTGCTTGTGCCACTACAACCCATGTGATCATAGTTTCTCAAGCCATACGAAAGATCCTCCCTTTATCCTTACTTAGCATGCCTTAGAACCAAATTCCAACATCCGAAATTTTCTGCAAGACTTGATTCTAACATACAAACACCGTATCAATCTCGACACGCTGAACCCACACATGACCATGCACCCATGCTGACATCATACCATGCACTACATAACTCATTATCCCATGATAACCTCCTTCGAGCACAACAGTTTCAAGTTTACTGGCTAAAGCCCGTTGTTTACCTCATAACGCATATAAGCCCGGTCTCAATCCTCGCAATACTGCAACGATGAAAGAGATGTGCAGGAACTCATAACCACCCGTCAAATCTGCTTGCCAAGAACCATTACCTCA